GCTGATGATGATTATGGTATCCCGATGATGATGATGATGATTATGACGGTGGTGATGATGATGGTGATGGTGATGGTGTACCGATGATGATATTGATGATGATGTTGGTGATGATGATGCTGCTGATGATGATGGTGTCCCGATGATGTTGATGATGCTGTTGATGATGATGATGATGATGATGATGATGATAATGAGCTGATGATGATGGTGACCCGATGTTGTTGATGATGTTGACGATGACAACGATGGTGACCATGATGGTGTCCCGATGATGATGATGCTGATGGTGATGATGTCGATGGCTGTGTCCCGCTGGTGATGTTGATGATGTTTTTGATGATGATGAGATGACGATGATGTTGATGTTTCTGCACTTTGTTGTTGATGATGATGTTGGTAATGATGATGCTGCTGATGATGATTATGGTATCCCGATGATGATTATGACGGTGGTGATGATGATGGTGATGGTGATGGTGTACCGATGATGATATTGATGATGATAATGGTGACGATGATGCTGCTGATGATGATGGTGTCCCGATGATGTTGATGATGCTGTTGATTATGATGATGATGATGAAATGATGATGATGATGATGATGATGGTATCCCGATGTTGTTGATGATGTTGACGATGACAATGATGGTGACCATGATGGTGTCCCGATGATGATGATGATGATGCTGATGGTGATGATGACGGAGGCTGTGTGCCGATGATGATGATGATGATGTTGCTGACTATGATGAGGTGATGATGGGGATGATGATGATGGCCTGATGATGATGGCGTTGATGATGATGACGATGATGATGATGACGACAGTGTCCCGATGACGATGAAGATGATGGTGTTGGTGATGACGATGATGACGTTGAATGTTATATCGATTGTGATATCGGTAGTGGGATCGATAGTGAGACCGAATGTGAGATCGATTGTGAGGTCGATAATCAGATCAATTGTGAGACCGAGCGAATGAGGTATATCGAGTGAGATCGATTGTGAGATCGATCGAGTGAGATCGATCGAGCGAGACAGATAGTGAGATGGATAGTGAGACCGATCGAGTGAGACGCTGCATCCTCCCCCCCCCCCCGAACCTCCTTATCACCCGAAGGGTGGTCGTATAGGTAATGATCTATACCATCAGCAGCCGCATTATCATCAGCATAGTATCATCATCAGCATCAGCATCAGCATCATCATCATCATCATCATCATCATCATAATCATCGGCATCATCATCCCCACCAGTATCATATTCCTCAGCATCATCATCAGCATCATCATCATCGAAATCATCATCATCATCAGCATCATCATCATGATTACCATGATCATGATCATCATCATCATCATCAGCATCATAATCATCAAAAGCATGATCAACATCAAAATCAGCATCATCGTCAGAATTACCACCAGCCGCATCACCAGCATCAGCATCAGCATCATCGTTTTCGTCGTCATCAGCATCATCAGAATCGTCTGTATCATCGTCATCATCATCATCACCATCACCACCACCATGATCATCTGCAGCAGCTGCATCATCAGCATCAGCAGCATCATCGACACCATCGTCATTATAATCAGCATCAGCATCATCATCGTCATCATCATCCATCTCATCATCACAAACATCATAAGCGTAAGCAGCATCATCATTGCAATCGTCATCGTCGCCGTCGCCGTCGCCATCGCAGTCGTGGTCGATACCAGCAGCATCATAATGAGCACCAGCATCGTCAGCATCATCATCATCAGCAGCAGCATCAGCATCATCATCAGCATCATCAGCATTGGCATCAGTGCCGTCATCGTTATCATCGTCATCGTCATCGTCATCGTTATCGTCATCATCATCATCATCGTCGTCGTCATCATCATCAGCATCATCATCATCATCCTCATCCTCACCCTCATCCTCATCCTCATCCTCATCCTCCTTCTCATCAGCATCATCAGTATCAGCATGACCATCATCATCACCAGCATCACCACCATCACATCACCATCACAATCACCATCACCATAACCATTACCTATACGACCACCCTTCGGGTGATAAGGAGGTGAGGGGGGGGGGGAAGGGACCAACGTCGCACTCGATCGATCTTACTATCGAACTCACTACCGATCTCACAATCGATCTCAATCGATCGATCTCACAATCGATCTGACTATCGATCTCACAATCGATCTCACAATCGATCTCACATTCGGTCTCGCTATTGATCTCACAATCGATCTCACAATCGATCTCACATTCGATCTGACTATCGATCTAACTATCGAACTCACTTTGGATCTCATTATCGATCGTACATTCGGTCTCACTACCGATCTCACTATCGATATCACAACCGATATCACAATCGATCTCACATTCGGTCTCACCATCGATCTCACTATCGAACTCACTATCGATCTCATTATCAATCTCAATCGATCGATCTCACAATCGATCTGACGATCGATCTCACAATCGATCTCACAATAGATCCCACTATCGATCTCACATTCGGTCTCACTGTCGATCTCACTATCGATATCACAATCGATCTCACAATCGATCTCCCATTCGGTCTCACAATCGATCTCACTACCAATACCACTATCGATCTCACAATCGATCTCACAATCGATCTGACATTCGGTCTCACGCTCGATCTCACAATCGATATCACTATCGATCTCACTATCGATCTCACATTCGACCTCACTATCGATCTCACTATCGATCATTAAAATAAAGCACCAACATCATCATCACCATCATCATCAACAACATCAACATCAACATCATCATCATCATCATCATCATCATCATCATCATCATCATCATCATCCTCATCATCATCGGGTCACCGACGGGACACCGGCGGGACACCGGCGGGACACCGCGGGGCCCCGGCCGCCCGGAAGGGAGACATTTGATCCGGCCGCGCCTCAGCCACACGGGACACCAGCGGGACACCGGCGGGACACCGCGGGCCCCCGGCCGCCCGGAAGGGAGACATTTGGTCCGGCCGCGCCTCAGCCACAGGAGACTTTCTCTCGCCCGCCCACGCAGGTTCGCCTCGCCCGCACGGCACGCACGAACACGAAACCGAAATCGATTTCCTGGTAGGGGGGCTGGCTCTCCGTTCCACTTCGATCTCACCCCCTCACCTCCGACCAACACCATCACCATCACCAATACCATCGCCATCACCACCACCATCACCACCATCCATCCTACTCAGTCCCCTGTTTGGCTCCATCTGTCCTCATCCTCCTTCTCCTCCTCCTTCTCCTCCTCCTCCCCTGCATCATCCTCCCCGTCTTCCCCACCACACCCCCTCCATAACCCCATCCTCCCTCCTCCGTGGTCCATCCTCACATCTTTCATCCTCCTCATCCCCCATCCCTTCTCCCTCCTTCCCCCCTCCACCCTCCTCGCTGCTACCTCCTCCCTCCTCCTCCCCTCGCCCTCCCCCTCAAACTTCCCCCTCCGCCCCCTCCTCCTCTTCCTCCTCCTCCTCCTCCTCCGCCTTCGTCTCCTTCTCCCCTCGTTCTCCTCCCCCTCCTCCATTCAACTCAGTCCCCTGTCCTGTTCCCTCTGGCATCCGCCTTTTCCTCCTCCTCGTCCTCCTCCTCATCCCCCTCCTCATCCTCCTCCTCCTTCTCTTCCTCCTCCTCCTTTTCTTGCTCCTCCTCCTCTTTCCTCCTCCTCCCTCTCCTCCTCCTCATCGTCCTCCTCCTCCCCTCCTCCTCCTCCTCCTCCTCCTCGTCCTCCTCCTCCTCTTCCTCCTCCTTCTCCTCCACTGACCACTGCCTTGATCAGAGGTGCACGCGTTGTGGAGGTTCGGCCACAAAGGCGAGGACCACTCTTTGGCGTCAGTCACCTTGTTTCGAACCCCTGGACTATAACGGAGTGATGTTCAACAAGCCCCCCCAAGCCCAGTTGCATATAGCAGGGGGCTTTGTTGACTCCTCTCATCGGATGCAGTGGCATAGTGTATTGAAATTGTGGTACTGTGGCAGGTGCGGGTGCTATGGGCATCAATTGCTGGACTGGCGTGGCCGTCCTTGTCAGCGCCCCACCGCCAACAGGCTTGAGTATATCTCCAGGATCTCTCGTGGGCTCTGGCCAGAGGTTCTGAGCAAGACGGAGAAGGCCACCCGACGCGGAAGTGCGTCCCGAGGGTAGGCCCCTCTGTCGCATTGCATGCTGCATGTCATTATTGTCATTGCTTGCTGTCCTGACATTGTCATATATCTGATTCCCGATTCCCGATTCTCCTCCTCCTCCTCCTCCTCATCCTCCTCCTCCCCTTCCTCTTCCTCCTCCTCCTCCGCCTCCGCCTCCTCATCCTCCTCCTCCTCCTCCTCCTCCTCCTCCTCCTCCTCCGCCTCCTCGTTGTTGTTATTATTCTCCTCGCCTCCTCCTCCCCATCCGCCTCACCTTCTTCCTGCTCCTCCTCTTCCTCCTCCTCCGCCTCCTCTGCCTCACCATGCTCTCTCCCCCCCTCCCCTCCTCCTCCTCCTCCTCATCCTCCTCCTCCTCCTTCCTCCTCCTCCCCCTCCTCATCCTCCTCCTCCTCCCCTCCTCCTCCTCTCTCCTCTCCTCCTCCTCCCTCCTTCCTCCCCTCCTCCTTCCCTATCCTCCTCTCTCATCATCATCATCATCCATCATCATCATCATCATCATCATCATCATCATCATCATCATCATCATCATCATCATCATCATCATCATCATCATCATTCATCATCATCATCATCATCATCATCATCATCATCATCATCATCATCATCATCATCATCATCATCATCATCATTCATCATCATCATCATCATCATCATCATCATCATCATCATCATCATCATCATCTCATCATCATCATCATCATCATCATCATCATCATCATCATCATCATCATCATCATCATCATCATCATCATCATCATCATTCATCATCATCATCATCATCATCATCATCATCATCATCATCATCATCATCATCATCATCATCATCATCATCATCATCATCATCATCATCATCATCATCATCATCATCATCATCATCATCATCAGCATCATCATCATCATCATCATCATCAGCATCATCATCATCATCAGCAGCAGCAGCAACATCATCATCATCATCATCATCAGCATCATCATCATCATCATCGTCATCATCATCATAATCATCATCATCATCAGCAGCATCAGCATCAACATCAGCATCAGCATCATCAGCATCATCATCAGCATCATCATCATCAGCATCATCATCAGCATCACCATAATCATCATCAGCATCAGCAGCAGCATCATCATCAACATCATCAGTATTATTAGCATCAACATCATAATCACCAGCAGCATCATCATCATCAGTCTCATGGTGATCATCAACAGCATCATCAGCATAATCATCCTCATCATCATCATCCCCGTCACAACAAATAACAATAATCATGGTAAACATAATAGCAATAATCATACTCATGATACGAGTAGTAGTAATAGAAATACTAACAATAACAATAATTATAAAAAAACAAAAACATCATCAACGACAGCAACAGCATCAACATCATCATCAGCCGCATCATCATCATCAGCAGCATCATCATCATCAGCAGCATCATCATCACCATCGGCAGCAGCATCATCACCAGCAGCAAGAGCAACAGCAGCATCATCATCAGCAGCGTAATCAAAAACAACAACAACATCATCTTCCTCATAAACCATCATTCATCCAACAGTATCGTAATCATCAACAGTAGCATCAGCATCATGATCATCATGATCATCTGCATCATGTTCATAATCGTCATCATCATAATCATAATCGTCAGCAGCATTATCATCATGATGGTCATCTTCGTCCTAATCATCATCTCGTCATCATCATCAGCAACAGCATCATCATCACCATCATCCTCATCATCATCATCAGCAGCATCGACATCATCATCATCATTCGCGTCATCATCATGATCATCATAATCAGCATCATCATCTGCATCATTATTAGCATCATCATCATCATCATCATCTGCATCATCGCCTGCATCATCATCATCATCATCATCACCATCATCAGCATCATCAGTTGCATCAGCATCAGCATCAGCAGCATCAAGAGCATAATCGCCATCATCAGCACAATCAGCGTCAGCATCATCATCCTCGTCGGCATCCTCACCATCATCATCGAGACAAGCATCAGCCTCATCATCAGCATCATCCTCATCAGCATCATCATCACCAATATCGTCGTCGTCATCATCGCCAGCATCATCAGCATTTCATCATCAGCATCGTCGTCATCGTCGGCGTCATCATCATCATCATCATCATCATCATCAGCATCATCAGCATCATCATGGTCATCGCTATCATCAGCAGCAGCAGCCTCATCAGCATCATCAGCCATCATACATCACCATCATCATCATCATCATCATCATCATCATCATCATCATCATTATCATCATCATCATCATCTTCATCATCATCGTCATCATGATCATCATCAGCATCATCAGCAGCAGCATCATCATGAGCAGCAGCAGCAGCATCGTCGTCGTCATGATCAGGAGCAGCAGCAGCATCCTCATCATCAGCAGCAATAGCAGTATCATCAACATCATCATCATCATCAGCAGCATCAGCATTATCAGCATCATCGTCGTCATCATCATCCTCACCCTCATCATCATCATCAGCATCATCAACAACAACATCATCATCATTATCATCAGCAGCAGCATCGTAATCATCGTCCTCATCATCCTCCCCATCATCATCACCACCACCACCAGCATCATCATCATCATCGTCGTCGTCGTCGCTGTAGTTGTCGTCGTCGTCATCATCGAAATCATCACCAGCATCATCATCATCATCAGCATTACCATCATCAGCATCGTCGTCATCGACCTTATCAGCAGCATCAGCATCATCATCATCATCATCATCATCATCATCAACATCAACATCAACATCAACATCAACATCATCATCCTCACCCTCATCCTCACCCTCATTCTCACCGTCTTTCCCATCCTCTCCACTAGTCCTCCTCCGTTTCCTCCTCCACCTCCTTCTCATCCCCATCCCCCTCTCCCCGTCCTCTCTAAGGGGAGAGAAATCGTCTCGGTCCTCCTCAACCCCCCTGCAAGAGGACCTGAGGCCCCGCGTTCATGGCTGCTGCCAGGGGTGCCCTCTGGCAGAGAGCAGAGGGTTACCGAGGCCGTCGGGCTTACCTAGTCGCGCCGGCTCCGGAGAACGTCGGGAGGACGCAAGCCGTGCACTGGCGCCGATCTCGGCCGAGCCCATTTTGGGCCCAGTCCCAGACCTCCGACGATCCGGACGCCGTTTCTCATCCACTTTCGACACGCGGGATTCGCTTCTTCAGGCCCCACGGCGATCAAAATTGGATCCGGGACGCAGAGCTAGCCCTGGGGGAGGAGTCTGGAACTCTGGGGCCGCGGATTGAAAAACAAAAACAAAAAATCGGACGATGTCTGGGTCCGGGCCCGCCCTGGGCCCAGGTATGGGCACAACCAGGTGTCAACTGGCTTGAACAACAACAACAACAACAACAACAACAACAACAACAACAACAACAACAACAACAACAAGAAAAACAACAAAAACAACAAAAACAACAACAAGAACAACAACAACAACAACAACAACAACAACAACAACAACAACAACAACAACAACAACAACAACAACAATTACTAGCACGTGGGGACACTCCGTTCTCACCAGTGCCAGGGTTTTCATACGACGCCCGCCAATACCCCCACTTTGTGGGGGGGCCGGTTCAAGCTCTACCACATTTCCAAACGACTCTTCGCCACCACCCACACCCAGCTTCCCGCCCTATGACGTTCGGACACTTCACTTCGTGGCCTGCGGACGACCGTGGCTACTACACTGGCGCATGGTACAAATTTTGGATTCGGACAGCGCGCGCGGGGAGAAATTTTGAAAAGTCGTGCAAGTGTTTTTCGAGGACCTACGGTGCGATTCGTATGATTTTATGTTGCGCGGTGCTAAAATTCCTAAGAAACCCAATGGTTTTTGAAGATTTCGGCGTGCGCGCGCGAAGAAAAAACGAATGTGTCCCGCATGGTATTATTTGACAGGGATGATGGCCCTGGCAGGTGCGCAACCGTTGTCGCAGAAGTTCGAAAAAGTTGCTCGCAAAAGCCCGTTTGACAGAAATGTTTAAAAAGTGTTGGGTTTCCTACGAATCCGCAAGAGCGCGCGGGATGAGATTTTGACATTTTTTGTTGAAAAACCATTGGTTTTTTGATGTTTTTATGTTAAAATCGCTGCGAACACTAAGGTTTTGGAAGGATTTCGTCTTGCGCGCGCGAATGTCCACTTTACCTTATTTTTTGCAAGGGATTCTTGAAATTTGATTATATTAGAACAAGAAATGTCATTTTCTATTGTTTTTTGCAAGGGAAAGCGGATTACAACAAAACAACCGGATCCTGTACACACCCTCTTTTCTGAGGCTTCCTCACGAAAATGATGAAAATGTAGCTGCGGCCTAGGCGGCGCAGGGGGGGCGCGCACCAGGGGGCCCAACAATAATTATTCTTTAGAATAAATAATGTTCAACAACAACAACAACAACAAAACTAAATCGCGCCCGGTTTCGTCGCCACTCATTCGTGGGCTGGTCCTGGGGCCCTGGGGCCAGCCTGTCGAGTGTTCCAGGGCCCGCATGCCGAAAAAATCTTGACTTCAGAGGTCTGAGAGAGCGCGCCCACAGGGCCCGAGCAAAGGGGAGGTGGGGCTAGGCTTAAGCTACCACCCCCCTCCCTTGAGCCGCCCTTGCTGGAAGCACCCCCCCCTCCCCCCCTTTTTTGCAAGGGGGGGGGGGCTTACAGCTACCCCCCCCTCCCCCCTTGGGCCCTCCCTGGAAGCTACCCCCTCCCTCCCCCCCTTTTCCAAAGGGGGGGGGTGCATAAGCTACCCCCCCCTCCCTTGGCGCTGCCCTGCTGGAAGCTACCCCCCCCTCCCCCCCTTTCGTGCAAAGGGGGAGGGGGGGCTTGGAAGCTACCAACCCACCCACCCCCCTTTGGCCGCCCCGGAAGCTACCCCCCCCTACCCCCGGGGGGGTGCTTAAGCTACCCCCCCCTCCCTTGGAGCCGCCCTGCTGGAAGCTCCCCCCCCCTCCCCCCCTTTGTGCCAAAGGGGGGGGGGGCTTGGAAGCCCCCCCCCCCTTCCCCCCTTTGGCCGCCCAGCCCCCGGAGCCTCCGCCCTCCCTTTCGCCGACGATCCAAAATGAACAATCCACGATCGAGGATGGACGATCGACGATCAACGATCGACGATCGAAAATCCCAATCGAATCGCTTGCAATCGATTGCACTCCATTCCACTGCAATCCCCCTCCCCACCTCCCTCCGCTCCCTCCCCTCCCTCCACACCCTTCGTTCCATCTCCTCCCTCCCCTCCCTCTCCTCCCCTCCCTCCCTTCCGTCCTGTCCCTCCCCTGCAATCCAATCGATTGAATCGATTGCAATTCAACCGATTGCAATCCAATCGATTGCAATCCAATGGATTGCAATCGAATCGTTTGCAATCCAATGGATTGCAATCGATTGCAACGCAAGTGTATCATTCAACTCGTCCCGTGCCAACGCCCGGGAACGAAAAATTACCCTGGCGACGTACCCAACCCCTGCGCAAACGCGGGGCGCAAATAGTTTAGGACACTTTATAGGGGGCGATGACGGAGCGAGGGTTACATATGTCTGCAGACGGAATTCGGGAGACTCGCGGGACACTGGCTTCAGGACAAGGACTAGATAAAGCTGATTAGTTGCAATCCCTGAGCAACCCTAGCCACTTCGAAAGCGGGGATCTCAGATCGCAGCCCCCCAGGGATGGCGAGATCTAATTTGGGTCCGCGCGTGGCGTCACTGTGCTGGGCCCCCCAGCAGGCCTCGAAAGTGGCGACAGTTTCACAGATCGCAGCCCCCCAGGGATGGCGAGGTCTAATTTGGGTCCGCGCGTGGCGTCACTGTGCTGGGCCCCCCAGCAGGCCTCGAAAGTGGCGACAGTTTCACAGATCGCAACCCCCCAGGGATGGCGAGGGCTAATTTGGGTCCGCCCGTGGCGTCACTGTGCTGAGCCCCCCAGCAGGCCTCGAAAGGGGCGGCAGTTTCACAGATCGCAGCCCCCCAGGGATGGCGATGTCTAATTTGGGTCCGCCCGTGGCGTCACTGTGCTGGGCCCCCCAGCAGGCCTCGAAAGTGGCGACAATTTCACGGATCGCAGCCCCCCAGGGATGGCGCGGTCTAATTTGGGTCCGCGCGTGGCGTCACTGTGCTGGGCCCCCCAGCAGGCCTCGAAAGTGGCGACAGTTTCACAGATCGCAGCCCCCCAGGGATGGCGAGGTCTAATTTGGGTCCGCCGTGGCGTCATTGTGCTGGGCCCCCCAGCAAGCCTCGAAAGTGGCGACAGTTTCACAGATCGCAGCCCCCCGCAGGCAAGACAGGAGGAGGCAAGAGGGAGACGGGACGGGAAGGAGGAAGTGGAGACCACACTGCTCTATTCAAAACGAATACCCAACCAAGGAGGGTTGGGAAAAATACTATTCCCCCCCGAAAGTTGCACGAAGTGTAATTCGGAGAACGCCTGCCCGTCGGGTTTGGCAGTGTTCGTGTAAGACGGCGGAGGAGGAGGAGGCGGAGGGGGAGGAGGAGGAGGAGGATGGGGGAGGCGGAGGGGGAGGAGGAGGAGGAGGAGGAGGAGGAGGAGGAGGAGGAGGAGGAGGCGGAAGAATTAGGAGGGGGAGGGGGGGGAGGAGAAGGAGGAGAAAGAGGAGGAGGAGGAGGAGAGAGGAGGAGGAGGAGGAGGAGGAGAGGAGGAGGAGGAGGAGAGGGAGGAGGAGAGGAGGAGGAGGAGGAGGAGGAGAAGGAGGAGGAGGAGGGGGAAACGGAGGAGGAGGATAACGAGGAGGAGGAGGAGGAGGAAGAGGAGGATGATGATGATGGTGAGGAGGAGGAGGGAAAAATGGAGGAGGAGGAAGAGAAAACCGAGGAGGAATAAGAGAACTGAACGGAAGGACCCGCGGGGGAGTACGATGATGATGATGATGATGATGATGATGATGATGATGATGATGATGATGATGATGACGATGATGACTATGAGGAGGATGAGGAGGACGAGGAGGAGGAGGAGGCAAAAGGAAGAAGAGGAGGAGGGAGAGGGCCAGGAATAAATGGAAACGAAAGGGAGGGCGATGGCTCCGGGAGCTGGGCGGCCAAAGGGGGGAAGGGGGGGGGGGCTTCAAGCCCCCCCACTCCCCTTTTGCACCAAAGGAGGGAGGGGGGGGGGCTTCCAAAGCCCCCCCCCTTTCAAAGGGGGTGGGTGGCTCACCCCAGCTCCATTCAAAGGAGGGAGGGGGGGGGTAGCTTGGAAGCCCCCCCCATCCTTTTCGGGCCACAAAAAGAGGGGGAGGGGGGGGTAGCTTCCGAAGCCCCCCCCCCCCTTTCAAAGGCGGGGGGTGGCTCACCCCGGCTCAATTAAAGGGAGGGAGGGGGGGGTAGCTTGGAAGCCCTCCCCCCTTCCGGACCACGAAAAGGGGGGAGGGGAGGGGGCTTCCGAAGCCCCCCCCCCCTTGAGCAAGGAAGGGGGGAGGGGGTAGCTTCCAGCTGGGGCCCCCCTTCTAGTCTGTCGGGCCCCACGAGCGCGGTCTATCACAGGTCTGGGTATGACGCCCTCCTGGCTTGGCCAGCACGGCATCGTACACCTGTTCTCGGATGCCGCATTCTTCCGTGGCAAGGGCTCCCAGGGATCTCGACCACTTCTCCAGGGCTAGCTTTTCAATATGTATGTTCTGTTGACGGCCCTGGGGGGCGAAAGCTATCTCCAGAAGCCGAGAAGGTCCAAACACTGGCCGCCGCGATGTTGTACGCCGCCTGGATCTGAGCGATGCTGGACCCCAGACATCCGACGTCGCGACATCTTCTCGACAACATGGCTTCCCAGAGGCCTGGACCTAGAGGCCTCCCAAATGGGGTCGGAGTAGATGGGGTCGGAGGATCGAGCCGCATCGGCGATGCATCGCCAATGCATTGGCGATGCACCCGCGACGCCGGCGAGCATCGGCGACGTCGGCGTGGAGAATATCGGGCTCCAAAACGAGCCGCATCAGCGATGCACTGGCGATGCGGTGCGATCCTCCGACCCCATCTACTCGGACCCCATCTGGGAGGCCTACATGGACCCCTTCCACACGACAGTTTTTTCAGCCCAATCCTGCTTTGACGTTCCAAGGGCCACGCGGAGGGCCCCCGGAGGCCGAAGCCTGCCCAAGAAACCCTCCGCTCTGTGCGGTGTTTTTCTCGCGACGAGAGGACGACAGGGGCCCAGGCTCGGCCCCGCCAGGCTCGGCGCGGGCGCACGGCTTGCGCCCTCCGAGTGGGGCGCCCTTTCTCCCCTTCTGGCGCGGGGCTCGAGAAGCGCGGCAAGGAAGGCGGAGAGGCACGGGTCGGAGGAGGACGAGAAGGAAAAGGAGGATGACGAGGAGGGCGAGGAGGACGAGGAGGAGGAGGACGACGACGAGAGCGAGGAGGACGGAGGAGGAGGACAAGGAGAGAGCTTAGCCCGCCCCACCGACCGCTCTGCGGCGGCGGAGCGGAGGATGCAACGCGCTCTTCTTTCCCAGAGGCTCTCGGAATCCTCCAAAGACGGGCGAGAACGCCAAATCTCCGACCCTGAGATCAGTAGCGTCGCATTTTTCGCAGAGGGCGATTCTGAGGAGTCGGGGCCTCTGGGGCTGCATGCCTGGGATGAGGAGGGTAATCAGGGCAACGGGTCCTGGACCCCTGGGCTTTCCCCGCGACAGCAATTTTATCCTGAGCCGCGCACGCACAGCACCTCGACCTCCCTTCCCAGAAACTCGGAGGCCTCCAGAGACGGGCAAGAGCTGGCATGAAGAATCAGGGTGCTGGGTAGAACAAGCACCCCGTGGCTTATCGCGCAACCAGTTCTGCATCCCGAGAGACTGTGTCGACGGCCTCAGAGCCTGGGAGATGCCCAGGGAGGCCAAAAACAAAGAAAATCCTCAATGTCTATCCCTTTACCCCAAGACCACGTGTATATTTGTTCATGGCATGCCCCTTCCGGGGATCTCGGCCCTTTAGCAAGGGCCTGCTTGTCGTCCTGACTCATGTTTTGACTGCCCAAACACCAGGGAACGGTCTCCAGACCCAAAAACGTTAAAACTTGCGATCACGATTTTTGTCGCGTCGTCAGGATCTGACGGACGGAAGCCTTCAAAATACGAGCAATAATTGGCATGAAAGGGAAGGGATGTTTAGGGCAACGGGCCCTGGTCCCCGGGTTTTTTTCCCCAGGACCGACCTTCCATCTTGAGCGGTCGCGTTGACGGTCGTGGGGCCCCGAGGCCAGAAAAAGCGAAAATTCTCACAGCACACCTCCCCCCAGGACCCCGTAAGTCCACCAGCCACCCTGGAGGCAACCAGGCTGCAAAGGTTTGGCGCCTGCATCCTGCAACCAGTCCTCAGCTCTTCCGTCCCACTTCCAGTTCCAATGCAGCTCCTCTGCTCCACGGTTGAAGGTTGCAGAATGCGTGACACCCCTGGCCGAAAACCATCCAGATAACCCCAGATTCTCGTCCTCGGAATTTCGGGTTGCCCTGGGGCACGTTTTGTTTGTAATATGTGTATATATATACATACATACATACATACATACATACATACATACATACATATGCATGCATACATACATACATACATACATACATACATACATACATTACACCTACATACATACACACACACCTACATACATACATACATACATACATACATACATACATACATACATACATGCATATATATAAATACATACATACACACATACATACATACATACAAACATACATACATACATGCATGCATGTTTGCATGCATGCATACATACATACATACAAACATACATGCATACATACATACATACATACATACATGCATATATATACATACCTACATACCTACACACCTACATGCCTACAGACCTACATACATACATACATACAAACATGCATACATACATACATACATGCATGCATGCATGCATACATACATACATACATACATGCATGCATGCATGCAGCATACATACATATACATGCATACATACATACATACAGACATGCATACATATACATACATTACACCTACATACATACACACACACCTACATACATACATACATACATACCTACATGCATGCATGCATGCATGCATGCATGCATGCATGCATGCATGCATGCATGTATACACACATGCATGTATAGATAAAATACATACATACATACATACAAACATACATGCATGCATGCATGCATGCATGCATGCATACATACATACATACAAACATACATACATACATACATACCTACATACATACATACATATATATATACATGCCTACATACCTACACACCTACATGCCTACATACATACATACATACATACATACATGCATGCATACATACATACATACATACATACATACACACATACACATACATACATACATACATACATGCATGCATACATGCATGCATGCATGCATGCATACATACATACATACATACATACATACACACATGTATGTATGTATATATGTTTTATATATATATATACAAAAAATGATGCGCGCCCCCGAGGCCACAATCTTGAATAGCCTACGCGCGCATTTTTTCCGTCGCAGCGCGGCTGGGGCAATCCACACTCACGCCCGAGTGAATTTGGGGCACGGAGTCGCGAACTAGCCCGCACGCACGAGGGGGAGGGGGAGAGAGGAGGCGGCCGCGGAGGGGGGGGTAAAGGCGCGGGAGCGCACTCACGCAGCGAAGCTGCGGCGGGTGCGTGGGCGCGGCCTGGCTGAGGGGACCACCCTGGCAGCGGCTGCGGGTCGGCGTCGCAGTGCACCCAGGGGGAGCCAGGAGCCACAGCGCGGGCGAGGCCCAGCAAGTCGAAGAGCGGAAGTGGCCGGCGGCTGAAGGACCAGGGCGCCAGCGGGGGGGAGGCAGCGGCGCGGGGCCGGCAGCGGCAGGAGGTGCGCCAGCGCTGCGCAACTGGGGCCCCGGCGGACCGACTGGGCAAACCCGTCGAGGGGTGCGGGAAGAAAGCAAAGGCAGGGGAAAAGCAGGAGCGCCACTCCGCAGCCAGTGCACGGCATCACGGCAGGGACTTACGTGTCGTTGAATGCAAGTGGCGCACGGGCGGGGCTCCTCAGAGCGAAAGGACGAGCCCAACTGGCCGTCACAGAGTGGGGAGAATGGCAAAGCGGGAGGCGAGCTGCAATAGTGATGGCCCCCATAACGGGGCAGCGAGATTGCGACTGGGACAAGACCACCAGTGCGCACAGAAGCTGCAAGGCGCTGGCGCGACCCGGCGGGCGCATCGCTCGTTAGGCGAGAGCGGTGCGCCAGGGGGAGGGGGGGCGTGCCAGCCCGAGGCCAGTGCACGGCATCACGACCTGGGCCAGCGGGAAGGGTCGAGCCGATTCGCGGAGCCGACCAGTGGAAAGAGCACCGCGACCGGCAGCCGCCAGGGCGGCAAAGCGGGAGGTGAGCCGCGACGGCGGAGACCCCGAAGTGGGGCAGCAGAAGCTGCAGACAGGGGCGCGGCCCCTGTAAGCCGCACGGGCTGAAGACGGCAGCACCGGCGGGGGAAGCCCAGCGCGCAGCTCGCTTGGCGAGAGGCGGTGGGCCAGGGGCGGGGCGAAGGGGGGGAGGCCGCCCAGGCCCGGCCGCGCACCGCCTGGGTTGGACGATACGCGGGAGCCTAGGTGGCGGGCGCGCCGTGGAGGCGCGGCAGGGAGCACCTAACTGGTGCGCATGCTGGTGGGATAGGTCGCGGGCGGCGACCTCCTGGGTTGGAACGGCGCAGACGCCGCCAAAGGCGGAACCAGGTAGAGCGGAAGCACCTAACTGGTGCGCGTGCTGGTGGGAGATTGGGTAGACGGATGAGCCTAACTGGCGCGCAGGTTGGTGGAGAAACCAAGCGGGCCACCATAGTACACCCACCGCCACCGCGGGAGCCTCCTGGGTTGGCAGGCCCCCGCAGACTCTGGCGCAACCATGTAGACGGGAGCACCTAACTGGTGCGCTTGCTGGTGGGGAATGCGTGCGGAGCGCCTCGGTTGGACGCCCGCACGCTTACGCTGATGCCGGATGCCGAGCCCTTGAGAGCCCCTGAGGGCGGCGGCCTGCCATCTCGGGCCTCTGTGCCTCACACTCCTCGCAGCCAGCATCGGTCCCCTGCGGACCAGGTCGACTCAATGTGCATCTTGCCGGCCTGTCCCTTGCCGGCAGACTGCCCCTGCCAGCTCGTCTGCTGCCGCCAGACCGTGTCCCAGTCCACGTCCAAACGTCCGTTGCTGCAGAGGCGCCAGATGTCGTAGTCCACGGAAAAAATCATGCACGCGCACACGCACTCCCGAGGGCACTATCCCTTCTAGATTTCACCAGCCCTTTCGGAGAAGGTGGTCTAGGGCGTTTCCCGTCTTCTCTCTTCCTAGAGGATCCCCTTCTCCCGACCCTCTCCCCTGGACACCCTGCAAAGACCTTGCAATACCCCTGCAAAGCCCCCTGCAAACACCCTGCAAAGGACCCTGCAATACCCTGCAAAACGACCCTGCAATACCCCTGCAAAGCCCACCATGCAAAGACCCTGCAAAGACCCTACAAAAGCCCTGCGAAGACCCTGCAATGCCCCTACAAATACCCTTCAATACTCTGCAATCCCATCAGTCCCCTGGGCGCAGGTGGTCTAGGGCGTTTTCTGTTCCAGCCTCCTTCCTCTCCCTGCACGGCGAGGTCCACCCCCCCCCCCGCCTCCTTTCCCTCGATCTGGACGGGGAGGGGCGGGGGCGGATGTGGCAGAGGGTCCTTTTTGGTCCAAGATGGCTGCGAGGACCCCCCCAAAAGGCCCAAATGCCTCAAACACTTTACGAACATCAATGTGTGTTGCCTTCTCGCCTTTTCGCATCCGATGGGCTCGTGAGACCTCAAGATGACCCCAAGAGGGCCCAAAAGAGCCCCAAGCGGGGCCTAAGAAGGCCCCAAGACCGCCCCAAGAGCGCCCAAGAGCGCTCTAAGAGCGGCTCAAGAGGGCCCCAAGACGCCCTTGATCCTCCGAAACGGGGGAGCTGAATCCCACCAGCCCTCTGGGCGCAGGTGGTCTAGGGCGCTCTCATTTCCAACCTCCCTCCTTTCCATGCTCGGGAGGTGTACCTTCCCCCCCCTCCCTGGGCCTGGACGGCGGGGGCCCCGATGCGGCAGAGCGTCCTTTTTCCCCACCCTACAGGTTGGGGTTGTTATAGGTTTCAAGGACAGACCCCTGGGCCAACCCCACCCTGCATACCGCGGCCGCCAGGCCCCAAGGTGTCCCGAGAATCCCC